CTCCCATGGCATTCTGTAAAACATATCAATATTGTAAGGTCTGTGTTTTTTTTTGTTTTTTTTTTGTAATATTTTAGCCCAGCAAGTGTTTCGCGTGCTCCTTTTTTGAGCGCAAAGACGTATAAGAATTATTTCGATATATTACGTATAGGAATCATTCTTGATGTTTGACGTCTTGTGGTACTAGGATCTCAGGTAAAAATTAAAGCGAGCCAAATACCCCCTACTTAATCTTCCACTCTTATCTAATAGAGTGCTCTTTCTGGTCCGACAAGGATCAAATTACTCCGAGTAGTGTTCTTTGGCCGTGGGATAGATAGATATTATTTATTTATTTGACAAGATATTTTCTAACAATAAGAAATTTGCGCACATATGTATTTTTGAGGGAAAGTGGCGGGGCCCTATGCGTCCTCTTTAGCATATCTCCATTTCTGTACCATACCTCCTGAAAAACATTATTGTCGATGTTGATGGGAAAATGTTCACAAAAACCCATTTACCTTTACTTTAACAAATCCTTTGCATTAACAAAATCATTACAGTATTTTTCAGAAACTGGAAGAACTAATTATTAATTTTACCAAGAATAACAGTTATTACAAATGTCAGCAAAAAAAAAGAAGGTATTAATTTAGTAAGTTGGTCTAATATAGTATATACAGTAAAATATTTAGTTTAAAGTAAATAAATAAGTTAGTTTAAAATAAATAAATAAGTTAGTTTAAATAATTAAATAAATAAGTTAGTTTAACAAATTAGTAATAAATTGACAATTTAACAAGTTAACAGTTGAATAAATTAATAAATCAGTAGGTTAGTGGTTAAATATTTTTATAAGTTATTAAGTAACAGATAGTTAAATGAATGAGAAGGTTGAGATTCAGGAGGATAAAATATGTTTTATTCTGCTATGCTTGCAAAATCTTAGACAATCATATGTGCCGATTGAAGCACATACGGAGTTTTTGCTGTAGACTTTTTGAGAAAAAAATTTTTGGGTCCTGTATTTTAATTCCTCCCAAATTCATGGCATTTCAACTAAAGCATGCAAGCCTTGTGTAACGTGGCGACGAGGTGGCTAGTTTTAAAAAGTTGTTTTTTATTATTTGTAACCTCTTAATGTTAGTCATGCTTGTGTAGCTCCAAGCAGGGCAAGCGTACAATAGTATTTGTTTCGCTATCACTTTGTAAATAGCTAACTTATTTGCTACGCTCAAAGATGATTCTCGACTTAAAAGGAGGAAAAGAGTCTTAATCATTATTTTTTCTCTCTTTGTCAACGAGTTAATATGTTCACTGAAATTCAGTTTGTGGTCCCGTGTCACCCCTAGGTATTTTACCTGTGGAGTCCACGGTATGTTCAACCCGTCAAGCATGATTTGTTTATCAAAAAGGGTCCCCGCCTAGTAAAAAATATCGATTCTGTTTTTGCTGTGATTAAAATTAACTTCCATCTGTGGCAGAAGCGTACTATTTTTTATAAAGCCAAGTTCAAACTGTTTGCTTTAGCATTCTGTCTCCAGGAGGAACAATATATTACGATGTCGTCAGCGTAAAGGGCCAACGTGCAGTGTAACCTATCTAGTGTAGGGAGGGCATTTAAGAATATAGAAAAAAGTACATAGAAAAAAAGGCGCTAGGATAGACCCTTGAGGGACCCCAGCAACAACTTTGAAAGAAGAAGACGTAGCTTTGTTAAGAACAACGCGAAAGGATCTTTCACTTAGATAGGACATTATGATCTTAACAACATATGTTGGGAACTTATATTCTAACAGCCTGTGGACTATTCCGTTATGACAGACAGTGTCAAACGCCTTCTCTAGGTCTAGTAATAAAATACCTGTGTTTTTTGGAATTAAATCCTGCCATTACTTCATCAACAACTTTCGCTAGGGGGGAAGTTGTGTCTAAACCAGGTCGAAGCCGAATTGTCTTTCTATTAGAATACGTTTGGTTGTTATGTGGCTTTGTATTATTTTTAGTATAATTTTTTCAAATATTTTGCTTAGAGAGCTAAGAAGGCTGATTGGACGATAGCTTGTTGCCTTAGTCGGTTTTCCCGGTTTTTTAATAAAAATTAAATTGGACGTTTTCCAACATGCTGGAAAATAACCAAGGAGAAGCATGGCGTTGAACAGGTAAGAAAGTAACACTAGACCTTTTTTGGGAATGTTCTTCAGCATAACGTTAGCGATTCTTTCAAAGCCGGGAGATTTTTTGTTTTTCCTAGAGCAAAATTACTTTACGAATTTCAGACGGAGACACTAACTGGCAGTCATGAGAGGAAAATTCACTCGTCTGTTTAAATTCGCGGATTTTTCTTGCCACTATTTTATTTAAATATTGGGATCCCAGACTAATAGTTAATCTATGTTCTTCTTCAAAATGCTTTCACATAGCCTCAACCTTTTCCTCGTCAGTGACCATTTTCATGCCATTTATGTCCAGGGGCATGCTAACACTATCATTTGAGTAATTGAGGCGTTTGACTATTTTCCTAAGCATATTGTTATGGGGGGTAATATTTCCCATGTATTTAGCAGGTTTTGTGTTGTTCCATGCAAATATTTTATTATCTATCAGGGTTTGAAACTTGGATATGATTATTTTGTAGATAATTTGTGTTTTTTGAACCATTTTCAACCACCAGTGTGTGAAAATAATTCAGAACCTTTGCCGTGCGATGGGCCAGCCTGTATGTTATTGTCCGTATCCTTCGGCATCGTTGGCGTGATAACAAGAGTAGTAGTGAAAAAGGTCTGTATCAAGGGGGGCAGAGGCATCCTCCACATTCAGGTACCCCACCTGCACCAACATTTATCTCACCTGGGCCTAGGTTGTTGAGTCTTGCGAGTTTCAATAGATGAGAAAACATGAACGAAATATAGAAGCGTTCCGCGTTGTCGTAAAACTGTAAGCACACACGTGCACCACAGAAAAACAAAAAACATAAGATGTAAATACAAATTTTGAAACAAGTATTTCATTATATATACCTAAGGAGAACGTCCGACCAATAATCGGCTACCAGACAATTGCTCAATTTACGCAGCAGAATTGGTCGCTTTGATGAAGGCTTTTGAATATGTGAACCAAAAACAACTCAAACACACGGTTGCTTGTACAGACAGTAAAAGTGCAATAGAGAAAATACAAGGGAACGAAAAGGGTTTTATCACAGACAGTTTGGAATTGAGAATTAAAATTAGAAAATAGTTAATCTTTTTATGTAAGGTTTTGGTTGGAATGAAAAAGTTAATGTCACGAGCGGGATTCAAACCCACGACGTGCGGCTGGTGGGTTCGAATGCCACTCGTGACAATAACTTTTTCATTCCAACCAAAACCTTACATAGAAAGATTAATTAATTGAAAGCAATAAATAGGCTTCTTATCAACAGCGGAGTTTGCGTCAAGTATCTCAACATAGCAGGAAGGAACTCGCCTTTGTGCCGGAAGAGCGGCACTGACGAGGATCTGCTGCACATAATAGTAAATGGCCAAAGGGGGCGTTGGTGGCCGGAACGGTTTAGGCGTTGACACGGCGCTCATCACTGTAAGGTAAAGGTCCCGGGTTCGGATCCAGCGGCCCTGCATTCGAACCCGACATACTTACAAATGGGCTTTTTTCAAAAACACCGGCACCCTGAGGGTTTATACGACCTCTCCTGTTGCAAATCCTCATAAAATAAAAATTGCAAAAAGTACCAAGAATAAAGAAGTTTTGCTTTGTCGGGATTAGTGGCCGATCACGATTACAAATCCATTCTTTCTACAGGTAAAAAAGAAAAATATGTCAAAATTTATAAATTTATGTTAATAGCGAAATTAAAATTTAAACTTGTAAATATATAGATGATTGATTATTATTACATCATTTATTACTGTGCACTAAGTTTATGCAAACGGATAAAGAGTTGTACATAGTATGGATGTATATATTAGGGGTATTCACGATAGTTGTCATATAACTCCTGTTAATTTGAATAGAGAAATGTCCAGTAATATCGTGAACGCCCCCTTCTTTTCTTAGCATGTTAAACGTTAATATTTCTGCCATACTGCGCGTGGGTACTGGTAGAACCAAAAATAAAGCTATAACCGTCATTGAAGGATTGTTGTTGTTTGTTGTCGTTTTTTTTTTTGTGTTAAATTGTAAAATGGCAGAAGTTACTAAAAAATGAATATTAATCAACTCTTTTATTCAAAATACTATCTATGCCCTCGAAAAGAACTAACAAATGAAACGCTTCAATTCGTGCCGACATACCTAACTTGTATCCTAACGTCTAACAGCCTACTACTGTATAAGACAGGGAATGTATCTTTCATGAATGAGAGTATAAGGACAGGCCAGAAATTAACAAGAGAAATGTATTGGTCTCATTTAATTAATGCGTATTTAAGAATAAAAATACGTGTAAACAAACAACAGCTGTTAAATTCATGGCTACCATGTTGGTTATCTACGCCCTAACGGATAGCAATGTGACTACGTCTGGGATATAACATCTAACTTCATTAGATTTTGTGGTCCGACCGATCAAATAACATCTTTCAATTAATTAATTATTATGTATGATATTGGTTGAGATCAAATGGCAAAAAGGAGGAAAAATTCGAAAGGTTGGGTTGAGATGGGAAGTTAGTGTCCGAGTGGAACGAAGTCCTATAGCTCAAGTGGAGAACAGCGGCGTATCTAGCCGAAGGTCGTGGGTTCGAACCCCGCTCGTGACACTGACTTTTTTATCTCAACCAATACATTACATAATGATTAATTAACATCTAACATTGGCTAGATGTATTGCCTGTTAGATCGACCAATGTTAACTAGCAGATTCTTACAAGTCTGCGTCGTCATTTTTCTCGATCTACCACGACTTAACAGAGTTAACACAAAGATAGTAAATACCCCTAGTAAATATAAAAAATAGGGTGAGATTCAGTTTCCTATCTGTAAACGTCATGTTTTACATTATTTTTTATATTCGAACATGTGTTAAATCAGTGAAAAAAAATTATTTGGTTTAGTACATGTATAGGTTAGTTTGCTTTAGCAAAATTTACAATCAAAATTATTATGTGTTTTTAAAGACGGATTTTGTGGAATTTCCTCGAATTTTTGGTTCCTAGAACGAACCAAGGATCATGTGCTCAAAACGCGGCATCTTGTCAGTGATACAAAGGTAAAGATCAATTTTGTTACACCTTTGGTCCGTGTTTGACGCGGTTTTTTTTTGATATTTCAGGGGGTTCCGTACGTCACCATGCATAAGAGCGACGTATCCGACGGAATTCGAAATGTTCATGAAGTGCAGAAAGGACGCCTACCTGGAGACATGCATCATAGACGATTCTATGATAAATCCTTGTTGGGAATCACCGAAAGTCGTCATTATCGGAGCCGGGGTTGCTGGACTCTCGGCCGCCTCCAGGCTTGCCAGCTCCGGTTTTCCAAAAATAACCGTATGCGAAGCTGCTGATAGGTAACCGACTGCCAGATTTTTAATTTTCAAGTTTGATACATTTGTAATTACAGATAACGTATTACGTATAACAAATTATTCAGTTTGTTAAGTCTGTGAATGCATAATTTTGTATATGTTACTTTGGTATTAATTATGTATATTGTTTATTCACGATTCGATTAGTGGTCCTGCATACGTTTTTTATAGGCTAACATGTTGCTAGTTTCTTTGACACAGCTGTTTATCTATTATCTAGAACCCATTCGGATGTTTTATAATCCTCACAGAGCTACTACTAGCCAACTTTGAAAAATAAAAAAAAAGTTTTCAAAATAGTCACATATTTACATGTGTTTATTTGGCATTTAATGCATATCCCTTTAATCTTAGTAAATCAACTGGTCTGTCACTTGTCTTGTTACTCGAAGGTCTTGAATGCATCTAAGAGTACATCCCAGAGTTAGTTAAACCCTTTTCCCGGGTAAACGCTGTATTTACAAATTGTTTTGTATGTAAATTCTAAACCAGCATTTATTTTTTATTAAGAGAATACGATTTGATTGGTTTTACACTCGTATACATTTTTAACGCTGAAAAAAAAAACTAATGCAAATAAATGTACACATGAATGTTTATTGTATTTTTAGACCTGGAGGAAGAATACACAGCTGTTGGTTTGGGCCGACTGTCACAGAAATAGGGGCGACTTACCTTCACGGGACGACGATAGCGAATTCCGTTTTTCCCATGGCAGCGAGCGAAGGGCTGGTGAAAGAACCGTACATGAAGGAAACAGACGATGGGCTGATGATGACGAGCCAGTCGGAAATAATAAGCACGTTTGTTTCCTCGGCTTCAGACGCCTGTTTCAAAACTATACTCAAGCAGGCGGCCGACCTTTTTGTGATGTGCGGCCCTGGTGTTCAATGCGGTTCGCTACACGATTTCATCTCCCGCAGGATAGACCAGGAAATCAAACTCTTTCCGTTTCAGTACAGGGCGCAAGCGGCCAAAGTCATGGTGAGCAAGATGGTCGATTTAGAGTCGAAAATCGGCGCCGAGCTTTATAAAGTAGCCGCTTGCCAGTTCGGTACCCTGGTCGACATCCCCGGTGGGAATATAAGTGTGCCTTCGGGCATGGTCGGAATTCTGGCGCCGATGCTGAAAGACATGCCGTCCTGCAGCAGCATCAAGTATTGCAAACCGGTCAAAAAGATCAACTGGAAAACCAGCGACCCCGATTGTCCCAGATGTAGAGTCTATTGCGTCGACGGCGACGTCCTCGAAGCCGACTACGTCATCGTGACGGTCTCTCTTGGAGTCTTGAAATCAAATTCGATCAAGTTCGACCCGCCTTTGCCCGAGGGAAAGCAGAAGGCGATAAACGAGATGGGCTTCGGCCATGTAAACCACGCCTATCTCGAGTACGAAAAGCCGTTTTGGGTCTGGTCCGAAGGATCGGTAAGGCTAGGATGGAACTTCGAGGAAAGTGAGCACAGAGAGGGCTGGGTAAAAGGAATTTCGGCGATCAAAGAGCTCCCGACGAGTCAGCAGATTCTCCAAGTGACCGTCGGCGGCGACGCCGCACTCATCCTCGAGTCCCTCTCGGACGTGCAGATAGCCCAGGACATCACGTCCGTGCACAGAAAATTCCTGAACAACCCGGAGCTGCCTTATCCGGTCAACGTCCAAAGGTCCAAGTGGTCGTCCTCGCCTTTCTTCGCAGGAGCTAAAAGCTATTTCGGACTGAACACTACTCTCCAGACTCAGTGCGAAATCGGGAAGCCCGTTCCGGACGGCTGCTGCAACGAACTTCCTGTATTGTGCTTCGCCGGCGAAGCCACAGCCATCGGCGCCCACGGGACCGTCCACGGCGCGAGAAACAGTGGCCTCAGAGAAGCAGATCGCATAATCTCCATGACGAAGAAATTGAAAGGACGACCCAAATTGACTCAGGAAAATTCCGAAGATAAAGCCGTCGCGAACATATAAAATCACTTTTCCTTCTGATGTAAATCACATGTCTTCAAGTTTTATATTTAAAAACGTACTGTTTCTTATAAAATCATGTGTTATTAGTGGTTTTTTTATTAATTATGCTACTTCATTTATTTATATCTTCAACTGTATACAGGGTCATTTTTTGACGCACCATTGGAAAATCATCGCGGGTGCGTTTACATCCGACTCGAGGCTTATTTCCTTTGATTAATACGTTAATAAAAGAAAATGAGTTAATTTTCGGTGCAACATAGGAAAATCAAGGTTGGTGCGTCTAATTATGACTCGGCACATTTTATTTTGTTAGTCTCGTACCAAAAAATAGGCGAGTCACTTTTCGACGCACCATTCGTTACAAATTTGTTTTAGTAGGTTGGAAGGAAAATAAACAAAACCAATATTATTAAAACATTATTGAAACACAATATAAAAATTTTAAAAAAATTCTTCACTAATTAATCTGATTAAGGTTTAAGAGTATTTTTTTCGTCCGATCATCGTTTTACGATAGACTAGGCTACTGTGTTGCAGCAAATGGAGGTCTGTTCGAACAATTATTATAATGATTTTGAACATTTTTGATTTTTTCTAACAAAGGAGATTGTTACATTTATATTTTTTACTTTACCAGAAAAAAGGAGATTGTTATATTTATTTAATTTTTTTACTTTACCAGAAAAAAATACGTTGATTTTCCTATGGTGCACCGAAAATTGACTCACTTCCTTTGTTTAATGTTAAAATCAAAAGAAATAGGCCTTGAGTCAGATTTAAACGCACCCGTGTTGATTTTCCAATGGTGAGTCAAAAAATGACTCACCCTGTATAACTTATTATACACAACCAATAGGCCGATTTTCCATTTTGTGAATGTGAACATTAATTGGCCTTATAGAAGAAGCTACCGATTGATCGGTAGTCGCTCTGGACAATCTTTTACGAGGTCTCCGGTCTTTTCTTTCCTCTATAGGGTAATTGTTAGTGAGATCACGTACTGTGAAAACGTTTGTAATAGGTTTTGATAGAAGAAAAAGAGTTACATTTGTCACCACTGTTAAGTATATTATTGTTTTCAAAACAACGAGCAAAAATCATTCGTAACACTTGAAAACTTTGAATTCTTTGAATATTGAAATTTATGACCGATCCGTAAACTTAGCGCTCGTTCATTTTTTTAAATTAAAAATATATATGAAGTTAGCTGAATAGTATGATGATATTTAAAAATTTGCCTATATAAATTATTTTTTATGTTTACTGAGTAATTTATGCTATAAAACGTCGCAATCTAAAGGCTATAAATAATTTTCACGGAAGATCATATCTTTCATTGTAAATGGGGAAGTACAAATTTATGATACCGTCGCACAAATAAAAGTCAATAACAATTTTTTATTCCTCAATGTTTATAAAACGATAAACTTATCAAATTATAAAATAGGATTGTAAAAGTTAAAGATTTATGCGTGTTGTTTAGTGACCGTTAATTAATGATTATTTGGAGATAGTGAGATGCGGTCTGGTGTGACGTAGGTTCAGAAAAACTTTTCTTTATCGTGCCACCGTTTCGATCTTTATTTGAGATCATCTTCAGGGACTGTGATTTATAAACATTGTTTAAATTAAACAAATACATGTAAGTTGTGGAAAATGAATTTATACAACGCTAGAAATTCATTTTTCACATCTTACATGCATTTGTATAATTTAAACTATGTTTATGACTCCCAGGAGCGCAAGATGATCTAAATAAAGATCGAAACGGTGGCGCGATAAAGAAAATGTTTTTCTAAACCTACGTCACACCAGACCGCATCTCTTGATCTGCAAATAAAAATTAAAAGATTTATATTAATCGTTCGTGAATCGAATTTAAAGTAGCCTTGAGTTTTCCTAGAACCATTAGGCTCTTTAGGCATTCACAGATCAGTTTGGAGCTGGATTTTTCTTTGTCTAGTACACAGAATTGTATTGCATGAGCGTTAGTGGTAAGATTGTTAGGATAAGTCCTAGTTTGTTAGGGTATAATTCACTACTTTTACCCTGTATTAATTTTTTTTGTACTGGGACCCGTTTCTGAATCTCAGGGCTGTCTTTCTTCGAAAGAGCTGTTTTCTATGTTCGCATGTAGTACATGTCAACGTTCAGTTTTCCTCTCTTTTCGTCAGGAACCATATAGCTAACTCATTTATTTTAATTCTGTCCAGAATCTTTTCCTTAAATCTCACTTTGTACGTTGCTCTATTTGCTTTGTTGTATCCCAAGTGTCTGTACTCTCGGAAGCCACATTGTCTACAAAATATGTTAGGGTAGGAGCGAAAGATGTTACCGGGAATTATGAATTGGACTTCTTACATTAAGACATGCTAAACATTGTTGGCAATTTGTTTTGTGTTTCCTTTTACAATGTACAGGGGGTCTAACCGTTCTGATATATAGGGGATAGGGATAAAAGAGGCGGCCACAAAGCGTACTGCATCTGACCTGAATAAATCTATTGTGCTTCCCTTGATATTTATAACTCACTGGCCAGCTTCAGATTATTAATCAACTTCCATAGGATTGCCAGCGGCTCATTGGTTTAGGATCTTGCTTGTAGTTTTTATTGTCCTAGTTGCAAGAACCTGCACCTATATAGTCCTTCATAGTAACGAAGCATGTGTTCTGTGGTCTCCTTCCCTTCCTGGCAGTGTCTGCATATTGTTTCTTCTGTCTGTGCAAGGAGAATGTCGGTTGCGGTTGCATAATGTTTTCAGGTTGGAAAACTGTAGCATATATACCTAGGTTTACCGTCAGTTCGGTATTTGGTTTCATCCCGAAACTCCAACTCCCGTTCCCTTGTCAGTTTTGGAGCAGTCAATATTCCAGTACTACATATATTAAGACCTGCTAGACTTTGCAGTTTGTTTTGTATTTCCTTGTAAATCTAAAGGAGTCTAACCGTTCTGATATATAACCAATACTCCTTTGAAGCAATGGCCAATATTTAGGAGTGACAAATTTAATAATTAGTGACAATAGAAACATATTTTAAGATTTTGTTTTTATACAATTGTGTTTTTATTCAAATAAAAAATGTTAATGTTCCAAACAAAAAATGTTAAAATCGACAAGAGGATTATTTTATTATCATCTTATATCCTTTCCTTTGAGTATATCCTTCCGTGTATCGGAGATGCTTTTGGACAGACATGTTTTTGTTATAAAAACATCCTATTTCATATGGGAATTTATTGTGCTGCGTTGTTGGACTGTTGGCGCCCATCAAAAGGTGATTTAAATAATATTTGTTGTGTTAAAGAATGGGAGATGTTTTAAAAAACGAGCATAATTTATTTATAATTAATCAGGTTTTAATTTGTTTACTTAATTGTTGGTACACATATAAGAGTGATTTCTTTTGATTTCATTGTTACAAAATTATTGTACATTATTAACTTGTTTATGTTAATATAAGATTAAGCAGTTTGTTTTTCTTTCACAACTATCGTCAATTTTATTAATAGCAATATTATTCAAATTTGCACTACCAAGGGCTTGATTCGCTCCTTCTGTAGAAGCACAATTCCCAACGTCACAAATTGTAATGTAAATGCTAAATATATCGTAGAACTCTGAAAATTTAATAAACGATGGGAGAGTAATTATTTGCAAAATAGTTCTCAACTCTGATTCTTACTCTACGAAAAATTTCAACGTAGGAATAAAAATATACGGATTTTGTGTTGGAGTACTTTTATCCGCACAGCGTTATAAAACAGAGGATTCTCTAGATTCTTTCTATCATTGAAAAGCTAATATTTGGAGACATAAATTTTCAAAGGTTTACCGATAACAGCTAAACTTTCTCCTAGTTTATTATTTTCAGAAAAGCATACATTTCAACCCTCCGACAAGATAAACCATTTTTTATACAATTTTATTAACGTTGTGTACATAATAAAGATAAATTTATTTATTGTTAAGTTTAAGCATGTATTTTTTATATAAGGATTGCGTTTCATTTGTCAATAAGTTGTAATAATTCTAAAACATACTTAAAATATAAAAAGAAATCTTTTAAGATTAATTGTAGATTAAAATTAGATTAATTGGCTTACTAAATGCTTAATCCTCACAAATTACGTTCAGGCCTCGGAGAAAATCACCCAAACCCATCATTAACCCAATTTCCATTATGTACGTTATGTCATACACTTGTTCAAAAATGTCCTAAAATTCTGTTAAGATATTAGGAAAATTTTGAGACAAGCCTTCACGTATCAACAGCAAAGCTGTCTAGTGAACTTTCTAGACTTTCAAAAAGCATTATGCATTAATGGAACTTGGTTTATTAACGTTGGCCTAATTCTTGGTACAAATCGAACCTCATTTTATGTATTGACAAGAAGAATTGAAACACCATTAAAACAGTTTTTATAGGTGAACCAATATGACTCAAAAGCTGGTTTATTAAATTTTTTAAGAAAACAAAATAAAAAACCCGAGCCTTTGTGACTTCTAGTGTCCGCCGGTAAAACTCCAATAAGAGATCGTAAATATATTAAATATGTATTATGAGAGACTCTCACACCGCGGTCGTGCCCCTGGCCCTTTTTTCACAATAACCCTCCCAATTTGAACACACATATAAGAATTGTCGCCATGGCTAATATGCATAGATCATAACGCCAAAAAAAAAAAAAATAAAAAATNTTTATGTGTATGAATGTATTTATCTGTATGAATGTAGTGTTTGTAAATAGAAGTGTAAATAGAATATTGACTTGACTTAGCTTGGGGCTGAAATGACCCAGATGTCGGAAGCCCAGTAAAAAAAAAAAAAAAAATAGTAAATGATTTTCATGAAATTGTCTTTTTTGGTTCTCTTTTCGCTGCTAAGAGAAAGTGGTTATAATCAAAGGGAATGTATTTATTAGCGTGAATGTGCAGTGTGAGAGGGACGGTGGTGGAATATTGCGTACTTAATTCACCCTCAAACAGATTATTAATATTTGTAATATGTGTAAAACTTTGTGGCCTAGTTGTGGTTATAGACTGCTCCAGTAATTATTATTTGGAGTTTTATTTCAAGAAC